TTAGGGATAACAGGCTGTCAGACAAATGGGCTATCGGTCCAATGGGAAATTTTCGGATGATTGGGGTTTCGGAATAATGGGCCATTGGAACAATGGCATGGCAGCGACTACAGTTTCTAAGAGCCAAAAGCATCTTGCACTCTTGAGGAGTATGTAGCTGGATTATTGAAGCCTGGTAAACATCCCTTTATGGACAAGAAGGTATTTGTACCATCGTGATTTGAAACTATTTATAGTGAACTTTGTCAGACGAGTTCATCCTCCTGCCCGCTTTCATTGCTCATCTTGCAGTCTTTCATCTCTGTCTCTTACACACACACACACACACACACACACACACTATACTCGCAGGCTGACTGGTTCCCTTAGAGGGGCGAAAGGTTGAAGTCGGACTGACCTGCAAGCTAAGCGCATCCCTCAAACAGTCATAAGCACCTCTTCAATAAATCCCTTCGTGTGTGTGTGTGTGTCACAGAGGTGAGATGAGATGCTTAAAATAGGACAGACAAAAGGATGGAGGGCTGACTAAAATGCTGTGATTTTGTGGGGACTTACCCGACGACGGTGGCGAGAGGAGAGATGGATAGAGGGATGATGGGGGTAGAAGGCGGATATGGATGAGACTGAGTGAAGCGCAGGTTGATGGAGTGTTGAGCTGGGTGACTGACTAAGCCATACGTCTCCTCTGAGCCCTTATTCTCTGTCTCTCTTTCCCTCTGTTCTATCCCTCTCTTTAAAATAACACTATGTTCTGTGCGGTGACAAGCCAGGATAAAATGATTGGCCCTTAGTTTTCCCAAGCTGCCCTCTCAGATAATAACTACACCTACTCGCTGCCTCTACATGCTGACTGTACTTTATTAAAGCAATATCTCAATGCATTATGTTACTGTGCTTTCATATCACTGATCTTACTTGGATGGGTTTGAAACTTACTTAACTTTTTGTGCCATATAGAATCATCTCTGTCTCTCCATCGGAATTCTTTATAACCGTAGAGCCGGAAAATGAGCTAGGGAAATGAACATTTCCTGGTGACAAAGGCTCAAATACAAATAAATGTTTGACCTTTAAATACCCAAATCTTAAAGAATATTTAAAAAGGGGGATGATGAGGGCTTTTTTTAATAAAACATGCAGCCTTTATGTGACTAGAAATTAGTTTAAGGAGACTGCTGTTTGTGGGCTGGAAAACCAAAAAAATAGCCAAAAGATGCTAATGCCATCATTAACTGTAGCAACCCTTATTTACTGAAATTGTTTACTTGAGCCTGACCTTCACCTTGCAAAACTATTTTTAAATAATAAACAAGTACATTAAGTCTTAATCAGTGAGAAAGTGAGAAATGCACGATAAAGATGATGTTACCCGATCTGTCGAAATCCGTCTATTTTCGCAGTGGCGCATTCTGAAATCAATGTGAATTCATGTCAAATACTCGTGTTTTGGTCACTCCAGGTTTCTGTTTGATTTGAAGGTTTATGTTGTATGTATTTTCTTTCCCAACAAACTCAAGCGCCAACTTTCTTCTGCACAACTTTCCCTCTTCAGAAAAAAAGAACATCCTCGTATTCAAATTTGTTTAATTTTCTAGGTACATTTATATTTAATAGTGCAGCCTTTACATACTCAGGACTTAAGTTTAAATATTATTAAATAAACACATGGTCTTTTACATGTTTGACCATATAAGATGTGTGAAGGATACCTTTATTTGTTGTGTTTGGAATTCCGAAAGAGTTAAAGCAGGAATACTGAACTGCCACATTAAAATAATTTAATGTACCACACTATCGCATCAGAGAGTTGTATCTTGTAGAAATGTGTTTGCAGATAAGTTCACAAGTCTAAAACATACTGCTGATGTTCCATGTGTCTCCCATGGGTTTAAGTTGTAGATGTGCTACATTTGTTTTGTGTCTCTAAGTGTGTTTCTGAATATATGATGAGGATGCTGTCACTGACTCCAGATGCAACATCTGGCTGTTGTCACTGAGCTGTGAGTCAGCTCTGCATGTGGAGGCGCCAGAGCACAACTTGCATATGTCATAATTAAAAAACCTGCACCTGGTGAACTGTGACTTTTTCGACTTTTGCCACAAAGCTTAATTACAAACCTTTTCAAAGATGATATACGTCCAGGCTTTTGTTGCTTTACAATGTGCTACAAACCAAAAAATTAACAGACTGTTACCTTTGAATGCCCTCTTATATTAAAGGATTCACAGCTTGAAAGTTATACATTTATTCATATTTCTTAACCCCACTGTTGGCTCCACTGCAAATGGTTCAGAACAGACCTATTACTAATATAGTTTGTAAATGTTTTGCTATAATCTTTTCAGTTTCATAGTATAAAATCATACTATTTATCTTCCTCCCTTTCCTTTTCTCACAAACTAAAGCACAAAACAACTCTTGCTGTGTTTGTGTGGAGATAAAATCAGCAAAAATGCTTATCAGTTGAATTGCCAATAAATACAGGCATTAAATACACCTATAAGTGAAGCTGCAAAAATAGACCCCGGCACGTAAAGATAGTGTAGCTTGGTATATGGCTGCATTTTGAGATGCTTCTGCCCTAGTGACTCACTCCCCACTCTCTCTCTCTCTCTCACACACACACACACACACACACACACACACACACACACACACACACACACACACACACACACACTGGCTGGAACAGATCTGCAACCACACCAGACCTTGGGTGCATGTTTAGTATCTCTGGTAAACTATTTAGATGTTCACTTTTATTTGAAAGATTCACTTTCAAATTCTAAATGAAAATCTAGAACATATTTTAACAATCCCAATTTCCTCTAATTCAGATTACACAAACAGCACTTACCAAAAGGCCTACGGAAACATAGGAGGAGGAGAAATATCTGACATAGAAATCAAATCATAATAGCCAAGGGTCAAAACCACAATATTAATATTTCAACATCACTCAAATGATTTATCATTAAGGTTCAGCTTACATTGTAAAGCCTTTTTACTATTCATTATATTTTATTTCTTATAGGCTACTATACAGCTTGACGTCAACCTCATCCAAACTGCCAACACATTTATAGAGCGGCATAATATTTGCTATACATAAGCCATACATTGCAACCCCCCCCCCAATACACACACTCACATATATACACACACACACACATATACACACACACACTCACGTCACTTTAATAGTCGTCACTGAGCGTCAGTGAAATGGCAGCAGTGCGGCTGCAGGCTGATCTGAGCTCAGTGAACAGCGACTCAGACTGAGGGGATTCAGAGGGGATTTGATACACCGCTACAGCACTCTGCCACGGCCAGGGAGAGAGGGATGGGGAAAAGGTACAAATATATATATATACATATATACACATGCGCTTAGGGGAGGAGAGCAGGAGGAAATTGGATACGGAGGAAAGAAACTGAGGGAAGAAAAGAAAGGTAGCAGAGAAGGAAAAAGGAAGGAAAAGAGAAACGAAAGGAGTCAAGGAAGTAAAAGTGCACATACGAAGGAGATAAGGATAGAAGTAAAAAATGAGAAGAGAAAAACGATAAGGAAGTCATGGAGAGCCGAGAAAGGAGTAAATACGTGTGTGTGGGGGGGGGTGGATGATCTGATTAAAGGTGTAAAAAGGGAGAGGAGTGGAAAGCTGAGAGGATGCAAAAAGATGAGATGAAAACGTTATTGATCCCTGCAGGGCACAGCAGCAACAGAGATGAGTAAACAAAAAACAGAGAAATACAGATAAGAGAGGAAATATGAGGTTTATTTAAACATGGTCATGTTAAGGAGGAATTAATGAAGGAAAATATGCATGGTATGAGCAGCAGGAAATGATGAAATGGTTCAAAATATTATAATTAATATCAGTGAAAGTAATATGAGAGGGTGATAAAAGGAGTAAGATAAGAGTGTGGCTGGTATCCACATTAGAAGTCCACCTAGGGGGAATCGAGGAGAGGATGAAATGATGCCGAGGAGAGAAAAATAAAACAGACAGAAATGAGGAAGTGCGAGCGAGCGGAAGATAGGAATAAGAGGACAGGGGAGGAAATGGAATGTAGACGCGAGTTGAGGATTGAAGAGGGATTTTCCACTTGGTTACCCGGTCCTGACCACGTGTGAAATTTGCTCTGAACACCCGGTGGCATTCAATCAGCAGTCAAGTGAAGCATCGAGGAAATTAATGATATTAGTAGAGCGGGAAGTATGGAAAGAGGGAAAGAAAAATAAGACATTTTTGAGATTTTACTGCAGTATTCTTCCACTCCAGTTTATCATTGTAACTCAATCTTGAAAATGACTCGGTTAATAATTTCTCAACTATGTCATCACTATCACTGACATGAGCCATCATGAACGAACTTATGCTAATCATAAATCTATCGATCATAAATCTATCGATTAGATGTATGTTTTGAAAATTACAAAAGTAGGGTAGACATGTGGATATTATCCGGCTGAACAAAACGTGTATTTATCTAACAGGTTCGTTTTCCACATACCTTATTTTGAGCTATTTTCCAAAACCCTATGGAGAAATCCCATTGCTTTTTTGTCGAGGGAACCCGAGTGCAGCTTACTTCCGGGTTTTAGGATGCGTCACTGCACCACTTTATAGAGTGGCAAAGTCCCTCCCCTTCCGGTGGACCTCCATGGCACCTTATTTCGAAAAAAGTATGTATTGAAGTCAATGGAGAGAGAAATATTATCTTTCGATCCCGTTTGAATTGTGCCACGAATTACACATATGATGTTTGTCAATTTAAAAGATAATTTTGCAAGTAAAAAAAAAAAAAAAGTGTCGTAAAACTATGAAGTAACACATTTGTTTGTGTGAAACGCTCAATGAACTACATATCTGGTCTCGCAGAACAACACACGTCACCAAGATGGCCATCACTACTGTCTTGTCAACAAAACGATTGACTACCCTCACTTGCTTTGCTTATGGTTGTCCATCGAATCCGATGATGACGTCCACTTCTATCGGTGAGTTCTTTGGTGGCTGAATAGCCCTATCCTGGACCCACAAATCCTATTGCAGGTACGACAAGTGTATGTGGTGGCAGTAGCAACGGCAACTGTAGGCGTGTTCCTCCTGAGTCTCCTCTCCTGTCTGATGGCTGTCCTTTCCTCCTCCAGCATTTGGGTCCCATCCCGGCACAGCTGGCGCCAGGTGTTACGGTCAGCAGCAGCGTCCTCCAGGGCCTCAGGTCTGATTTTACATTTCTTTAACGCAGTCTTCAGCTGGTCTTTATAGCGCTTCTTCTGCCCTCCAGCAGAGCGTCGACCATGGTGTAGCTGGCCATATAGCACTCTGCGAGGCAGTCGGTTTGAGGGCATCCTTACTACATGGCCCAGCCATCGTAGCTGGTGCTGAGTAATTGTGGCCTCAATACTCCTGCAGCTGGTCTTCGAGAGTACTTCAGAGTGGGGCACACGATCACGCCAGGTAATTCCCAGGATGCGCTGAAGGCAGCGTATGTGGAACTGCTCTAGGACCCTGATGTGGTGGCTGTAAGTTACCCAGGCTTCGCAGCTGTAAAGGAGGGTAGTGATGCAGATGGCTTGGTAGACACAGACCTTCGTGTGGAGATGGAGGTTCTTGTTTTGAAAGACCCTACGCCGGAGTCTCCCAAAAGCAGCTGATGCCTGCTTTATCCTGTTTTGGACCTCATTGTCGATGGTGTTGTCTTCAGAGAGAATGCTCCCCAGGTATCTGAAGGATGGTACAACAGACAGTTGTTCACCAGCAGCAGTGAAGGTAGGTGGTGTAGATGGGATGTTGGCATTCCACTGGCAAACTACTTCCGTCTTGATGGTGTTGACGGTCAGTCCCATCCTGCTGTACGCTCTCACCACAGCAGTAAGAACAGACTGGAGGTCTTGTGGACTGTGAGATACAAGAGCACAGTCATCTGCATACTGTAGCTCAATGACTCTCTCCCTTTGCAGTTTGGTGGTTGCCTGGAGCCTCCTTATGTTGAAGAGGTTGCCATCTAGACGAAAGTCCACTGCCACACCGCTACTGTCCTCAATCTCCTTGTGGAGGAGCTGGGTGACACATAGCAGGAAGATGTTAAAAAGTACTGGTGCTAATACACACCCCTGCCTTACCCCTGTATGTACAGGGAAGGGGGAAGACTCTTGTCCTCCTATAGTCACCCGAGCAGTCATGAAATTGGCGGAGGATGTTGACAAACTTTTTGGGGCAGCCAAACCTGATAAGGACTTCCCATAAACGTTCTCTCTGGACAGTGTCGAAGGCTTTGGAGAGATCGACAAAGGCCATGAACAGGTCCTGATGTTGTTCTCTGCACTTTTCCTGCAGCTGTCGAGCTGTGAAAATCATGTCCACCGTGCTCCTGCTCTTCCTAAATCCACATTGTGATTCAGGCAGTATTGACTCGGTGGTGTTTCTAATCAGCCTATGGAGCATAACCTTTGCCAGGACAGCAAGGAGCGAAATACCCCTGCTGTTGCCACAGACAGCCTTGTCACCCTTGTTCTTGTAAATGGCGACAACATTGGCGTCTTTCCATTGTTGTGGGACGTTCTCATCAGCCCAGACCTTGGTGATGTACTTGTGTAATGCTCTTGTACAGAGGTAGCCTACTTGTTTCAATAGCTCAGCAGGGATGTTGTCATTACCAGGGGACTTGTTGTTTTTAAGGGAACGGATAGCTGATAGGACCTCCAGGAGGGTTGGGGGCTGGTCTATATTGTGCATAGGAGGAAGTGTAGGCAGGTCGTCAAGGACAGTGGGGTCTGCATCAGAGTCCTGATTTAGCAGGGTACCAAAATGTTCAGCCCATCTCAGCAGAATGCTATGCTGGTCCTTCAGGACTGTCAGGCCATCTGCTGTTTTCAGGGGAGTGATACAGCGGCTTATTGGGCCGTAGATCTTTTTGACAACATTGTAAAAGTTGTGCATGTCATTTTTATCGGCAAAAGACTGGGTTTTGTGTGCCTTTTTAGTCCACCACTCATTCTGCATGACCCGAGTAGCCCTTTGTACTTCCCGACAAATTATCTGCCATTGCTGCCTGGTGCTACTGGACGAGGGGCTCTTTAGCGTTGCCCGATGTGCTCTGTGCATGTCCTTCAGCAAGTCATGGATGGTTTCCGAGTTTTCATCAAACCAGTCTTTGTGGTTCTTGCTCTTATAGCCGATTGTTTGGGCTGGTGCCTCATAGAGAGCCGAGCTGATAGATTTCCACTTCTGGTCCATGGTGTTCTCAGATGAGCTCAAGGACAACTCCATCCCCCCTAGTTTCTCAGCCAGGGAGCAACGAAATTCATTCCTTGCATCAGGGTTTTCCAGGCGGGTGCAATCTAGTCACCTCCTTCTGGGTCCTTGCAGCCGCAGTGGAGGGCGCACTTGCATGTGGACCTTGGCCATGATCAGACGGTGATCTGTCCAGCATTCTGCACCTCTCATGGCACGGGTGATGTGAACGTCTCTGATGTCACTTTGCCTCACAATGACATAGTCTATCAGGTGCCATTGTTTGGAACGAGGGTGCATCCACGAAGTCTTGTATTTAGCCTTCTGCTGGAAGATAGTGTTGGTTATGGTCAGGTTATGCTCAGAGCAGAGAGTGAGTAATCTCAACCCATTTGCATTAACCTGGCCAACTCCATGCCTGCCAAGCACTCCACTCCATATGCTGCTGTTTTGTCCCACTCTGGCGTTAAAATCACCAAGCAAGAAAATCTTGTCATTCTTGGGGATCCGGCGAAGAGCCTCGTCCAGTGACTGGTAGAAAGAGTCCTTGGCCACACTCTCGGATGGCAGGGTTGGTGCATATGCACTGAGAAGTGTGGCGAAGCGGTTCTTAACCAGGGGGATACGGAGGGTCATTAGTCTCTCACTAATGCCAACAGGTGTTTCAGCGAGTCTTGGTAGTAGAGTGTTTTTGATGGCTAGTCCTACACCATGCAGATGTTGTCCTTCCGACGGGTAACCTTTCCAGAAGAACGTGTAGCCCATCCCTTGCTCTGTTAGAGAGCCTTCATCCAGGATTCTGGTCTCACTCAGAGCAGCAATGTCGATGTTGTAGCGACTCAACTTAGCAGCAACCAATGCTGTTCTCCTATGAGGTCTGTCAGAGCTGCCATACGAGTCCAGGAGAGTCCTTACATTCCATGTCTTAAGTTGCATGATTTCCGTCCGTAATTTTTATTTGTATTTCGACCGCGGTAATGAAATGGCCCGATAGGTGCGGTATCCTATCCAGGCGAGGTTGAGTGGGCAATATTTAGGCCACCTTTTCTAGGCCCTTCCCCAATTGGGGTGCTCAGCGCACAGGGGTCTGCCGAAAACAGCTTCCACTCAGTCCGAGCTGTTAGCGACCTATACCCTGTGCTGCTACAGTGCAGGGTTCTTAGCTAAGAGCTTCCAGTTCATTCGTACCTGCTCCCGTCGCCAGAACCCCATCTCCGCCAGACTTCAACACGCTGTAAGGTCCAGGTACTTAATAATAATAATCCTTATATTTATTATAGCGTCGACTTCACCATGGTCAGAGGTGGATACCTGCGCAAGGACGTTTTTAAGTGCCATAGGGGGTGCGCACTTCCCAGTAGCACTATCTTCACCACGATGAGATAAACCCGGTGGCGTGGGTAACCCATGACGACCAGTCCTCCATCCTGGCTGCAGGAGGTCCTTGGTTTTTTAAGGCCCGCCTATAGCGCACCGCCAGCGCATTGCTTTTCTGTCAGGGTGTGTTCCCTTAGCCTTTGCCTAAATAGGCTTACCCACAAGGCAGCGGGGCTATTTACCCATAGTTGGGGCAGGGGTTGACGGGCGTCAGGGCATGTCCACACGACGGTGGGCATATACGCTGCGTCTCTGGGGCCCCCTGCTGCTCCGAGATCCCCTCCAGTTTAGCCTGGGTCCGCAAGGATCCAGTTACCATGTGTGGCCACGGGGAGGCACTGCAGGAGTCTTGGTGGTGGAGAGGCTGTGTACCAGCAGGAGGAGACTTACACACTCGGCTCCTCTTTTCACCCCCGAGGGGGGCTAGCTGGCGGCGGCAGCTGTAAGCAGAGAGTAGCAAGCAGAAAGCGGCATGCAACATGCACTATCTACAAACATCTCTATTCTACTACGCTACTGCACTAGACGCGTCACACGCGTCAAACACCATCAAACCTACACACACACACACACACACACACACACACACACACACACACACACACACTACCCTCACTATCACCACAATGAAACACGTCCAGAAGAATGTCATACAAAGCTGCCTGCCTGCCTTCCTTTGATTCTCTCTGAACTGCCTGATCGTTTTAATGTTTAATGTCAACCATTTGTGCAGATAGCATGAAGTAGAAAAGATCGGCGATCGCCGATGCTAGCGTTAGCATTTCTCCCCCGGGCTTCAATGGTGTATTATAGAATGATCACACCGGTGACAGTACTCTTCAAAGGGTTCATAAAATATGACTACTACTCTTACTGTTGAACATTTTGGGTTACTTCATATTAAGGCTAATAAAAATGACAAGGTTGTAATGCTAACTGACGTGCTAGCTACTAGCTAGGTAGCTAACTTGATCCAGCCACTCCTGGTCCTTTCATCAGACGGGAAGCGAAAGAACGAGCAAGACCCATTGCTGGTATGATAATAACCTGGTACTAAGCACACAGGCATCTTGTTAATGTTATCTTATCTTAGCCAGCGCCATATAGATAGATTATATCTATATGGCGCTGATCTTAGCTATCTCTTAGTGGAGGAAAACAATTGTGACATCACTTACGCGACTCTGGGATTTGTAGTCTTTCTAGTTGCATATTTTTCATAGTCTTATATTTCAACAGTTTTACAACAAACTGTGACTTTTTTGACATGGAAATTATTTTTTAAGATGACAAACATCATGTGTAATTCATGGCACAATTCAAACGGGATCGAAAGATACGTTTTCTCTCTCCATTGTCTTAAATACATAATTTTTTCCGAAATAAGGTCCCATGGACCGGAAGTAGATGGGCGTGACTTCGCCACTCTATACACGTGCATAAACTTCACAGCGGGCGGAACTTCTCATAAAGTCCGCGAAAATAAAGCCCACCCATTTAGAGGGAAGATATGATTGGTCAAGTGTACTGTCATTTGACATTACTCTCTTGTTGAGTTACTATAGCTGGCCCTCTGTGAATTTACAGCAGGACCACCAATCAGCTCCTGTCTTCACATAACTCGCCGAGACGGCTCAAGGAGCTTCTTTCATTTAACCCTTCACATTCAAACAGAAACTGAACAGGCAGATTCGAAGGATTTATTTCTTTGGACATTTTATTTTAATTACAATTAAATCAAGTTATTTAGGTAAAACTAATGAAAAACATAACTAAAAAAATATGATATATTTAATGTTTTCAAATATAATTTTTTAGAATATTTTAGGCCCTCAGAGTGGGCCTAGAGGGCCCCTGATGGCTCGCCACTGCTTAAAGCATTAATCCCTGAGATGTATTTTGGTTCATTTAAGGAAATGGTGACATGTAGAGTGTTTTCATTAAACATAATCTACAATTTAATTTGAAACACTGCGGGGGGTAGAACGTCACTTTGCATAATCTAGCCTGCTTAAATATCATTAAAGGATAAAGCTGATGGTATTTGAGGTTATTCTTAGTTTTTTGCGATACACAGAGTCCCTGAAGACCTGCAGCCAACAATGACTTTTTCTAACAACCCTGGTGTGTGTTTCACCTCTGTGCCTAGAGATCCACCATCCAAAACCCATTAGAGACTTAAAGAGCTACACTGATAAACGGCATGTCATTTATTTCATTAGTATGAACAAGCAAGCCTTCACTCTTCTCTGTGAGTGGTAGTGGTAGCGCTGAGTCTAAGGATGTATCATTAAAATAAACTGATTGGTCGATTCCATTGTATGATCATTCACTAAAACACCAAACCATATGGAAATAATTTAACATTTCAAAAATCTGAAGCGAGGAAATACTTACTCATTAGTATACCCAACAACAATAAGTTACTGAAAAGGGGCTTCATATTTTTCCGATGGCTCATTATCCGAAACCCTAATAGTTTGTGTAAATGTAACAAAAGAAGCAAATTACTATTATTATTGGACCTTAGTATTTTTTTGCTGGCAATGCATGACCCTGAGCCATGCCTCTAATTGGCTGGTTATCATTGCCTTGATTTGTTGGTTGGTTGGTTTTATGCACTAGAGGCAAGCCCCCAGGAAGTGAGCAGGGCGTTGAAACACATTTTCATAGTGGCCAAACGGTGGTTCTACAACCGCCGTGTCAGTGACCTGACATTAATGGGTCCAAAATACATTTTCCCATTGACTTCCAGGAAAGAGTTGCCTGTTAATGCAGCATACAATGTTTTTGAGCTAGATCATTCACCCAAGTACAAACTATGTTCTAAAGGATGTCAAATGCACTAAGTGTGGATTAACAGAGCAGATTGGAGTTGGGTCTTAAGGAAATTGCTAGTGTCCATGCTATACGGGCCCAGATCTTAGGGTGATTCAGAGGCGTGAAGCCAAAACTCACAGACATTTCAATGATTTGTACGGCTAAGTTAGGTTTGGAAACGGTATCATTTCCTTTTTGGCGGGCATGCATAACAATAAAACACCTCAAAACACCATCTGTTCACTCAGGCCTTTGGCCTCAACTAATATACAGTACTCAGCAACCTGTTCCTGTTTTTGTTTTCTTCAGCCTATGTATCTTTATTATTACTTTTTGTTTTGTTACTTCCCATTGTAAAGCGTCCTTGGGTTTCGTGAAAGGCGCTATATAAATTGAAATTATTATTATTATTATTATTATAACACCGGAGCCTCGCTGCGGAGAAGCTTTGACGCTGTTCCGAGTTTGTTCTAATCTGTCAAAATGACGGACTGCTTTCAAATGTTTTCTTCATTGTTAAAGAAAATCCGTCATCGACGGAAAATATTCGGTTAACGCGACCTCTGCATCACGCTGACGTCAATCTCAGTTGACACAGAAGCTGCAGAGTGACTTGGTAGCCAAATGGTTGATGTCAACAAACTGCTACCTCCCAGGTTTGATTTCAGCCGTGGGACCTCATGTTGTATGTCCTACTCCACTTTCTTTCTACCCCATTTCTGTCAAATGAAGGAAAACATTGCCAACAAAATACTTGGGTAGTCGTTACAAGGAGGAGATTACTGGTCAACCAATGTTAATTATGTTGTCAGTTTGTGGGTGTCACTGAATGGAATTGAGACCTGGAAATGACAAAACAGACATTTTTGACTTTGTAAAGGACAGCTCTTCTATTACTGGTAACTATTGGCGGGGTGAAAGATATGATGACAAAGAGAAATACCAAGACGGACAAACATACAAATCAAATGCAGTCATAAGGTCGTTATGATTTACACTGAACAAAAATATAAATGCAACACTTTTGTTTTTGCTCCCATTTTTCATGAGATTAACTCAAAGATCTAAAACATTTTCTATATACACAAAATAACCATTTATCTTAAATATTGTTCACAAATCTGAAAAAATCTGTGATAGTGAGCACTTGTCCTTTGCCGAGATAATCCATCCCACCTCACAGGTGTGGCATATCAAGATGCTGATTAGACAGCATGATTATTGCACAGGTGTGCCTTAGGCTGGCCACAATAAAAGGCCACTCTAAAATGTTCAGTTTTATCACACAGCACAATGCCACAGATGTCGCAAGTTTTGAGGGAGCGTGCAATTGGCATGCTGACAGCAGGAATGTCCACCAGAGCTGTTGCCCGTGAATTGAATGTTCATTTCTCTATCATAAGCCGTCTCCAAAGGCGTTTCAGAGAATTTGGCAGTACATCCAACCGGCCTCACAACCGCAGACCACGTGTAACCACACCAGCCCAGGGACCTCCACCTCCAGCATGTTCACCTCCAAGATCGTCTGAGACCAGCCACTCGGACAGCTGCTGCAACAATCGGTTTGCATAACCAAAGAATTTCTGCACAAACTGTCAGAAACCGTCTCAGGGAAGCTCATCTGCATGCTCGTCGTCCTCATCGGGGTCTCGACCTGACTCCGGTTCGTCGTCGTAACTGACTTGAGTGGGAAAATGCTCACATTCGATGGCGTCTGGCACGTTGGAGAGGTGTTCTCT